AGGATGTCCTTGCTCTTATCCAGGAGATTGTTTTAGCATAATGTTCTCCTTTCTTGATGGAGATCAGCTGCGCCAGTCTGGAATGGTATTGCAAGCACTAATAATAATAATGATACATAATATTTTAAGAGGAAGCCTCCAATCACCGTAAGGTGGTTTTCAGGAGGGTCCTCAGAGAAAATAAATGTTAAACCTTTAAAATACATTAAAATCTAAAATACTATAAAAAGGACAAAGTAAGCTACGACCGCTACCGCTTCAAATTTTATAAGCTTTTGATGAGATTCCCACGTCGTGCACATTGATGATACATTGATTATATCATTAATTACACTGTGTCATACCTTTATATCATACCATTGATTATATCATACCTTTTTATATCATTGATGATATAAATAGGTACTTAAAATAGTAGTATCGTTTGTTGCCTGGTAGTGTCCATGTTTATTTTTGATTTTTCCAAAAAAAAAGGAATTTTTCTTGTTTTAAAACCTCCTTCTTTTCGTCTTGCCCCTAACATCTCCTTTTCTATTTTCCATCTTATCTCTCTCCATCTTTTTCTGGCTCTCTCCTTGTCTAACTCCATCCATCCCACCCCGCTATTTCTTTCCTTCCTTCCTGCACTCTAATTATTCCACTACCTCAACCCCTTACGTACTATCATTACTACCCTTTCTTTTTTTTCTTTCTTTTTTTCTCATTCCAGTCGTATCATATCCCATAACACTCCGTGTGTTTCTTTCCTTCCCCTGACTATTCGTAGCTTCCCCCTGTCATGACCCTTTTTCTAGCCTCCCCCCCTAGCACTCCGTGTGCTCCTTTCCCTCCCCTGAGCTGAGCTGACTATTCCTAGCTTCCCCCTGTCGTATCCCTCTTCCTAGCGCCCCCTAGCACTCCGGGTGACTCCCCGATTTTTTTTTGGTGTAATTTGTTTTGACATTCCCCACCAGGGCTCAACCCTTCAACCTCCCGCTCTGAAATGAAGCCCCTTATCCACTACACCCCGCACTACATGTTTAAAGTCTTCCATTAATTTTTATGGTATCATGAGTTATTTGTCCCAGGCTCAACTCTAACCAACTAAAATCCAAGTAAATGAAAATTTCCAAATCAATTCTTTAGCCAGGAAAGTGAAAGTTCCAAGATCTCTTGTCACATGAATATAAGCTTAAAGCACAAAAACTAAATACTTTGTAAAAATACAAACCTGATCACAATTCTCAAATCTGTTTCTGGATGCTGCAAACGAATTTTTTCCTTCTTAGCTCCTGGTGAAACTGTTGTGGCAATTAATAAACAAGGCATTTAGTTTCTAAGAAGAAACTGTTTGAAGTTTATAAAGGGATAAAAAAACAGAGGACTCACGATCGAAACATGAGTTTTTCGTGATCGTGATCACATTTCATCATCGCTAAATTCTCCCCCCACCCCAACTCTTTCGAGAAAGCTGATCTCGTCGTTTTCTAGTTTGGAGTGGTTTCCTACAGAGGTAAGACGTCGTGTTGACTAAAACGTCACAAATTAAATGTTTTGTAGAAGCTGAGACTTTAGTCTACATGCAGTCAACTTGAATTCGACTTTCTACAATATCGATAGTTTTTCTTCCGAGATGTTAAGATCAGGTTATTCATTGGCAGCATAATTTCCCATGTCATCATAATTTTTCCTTTTAAATTAAGACTTTTAAGAAACAGAATCAAAAGTATGGGATCATCCAGGTCTCAGACAAGTATTTATGCATCAGTCAATTCCATCTGTGACCACCT